ACCATGTTCGAATCGTGGAAATTTTGGAAGATCACGGGGTTGCTTTTAGTATGTAGATTCTTAATGCAAAATGGAGTTGCATTTAGGTGACGAATTTTGTATGGATAAATGTACATTTAGAGTAGCATTTAGAGCTAAATACTCTAAATGTGCTTTTACGCGTAAGCAAAAACAGGCCATAAGGGAGTTGTTTATTTGAAAATTATATTAAAAAATGGATGTTAAGAAGCTTAAAAAAGCTCTAGTTAAAATATATTTTGAAAAGTAAAATTTAAATTAATTATATGCAAGCTATCATATGATATAAAACATGGTTGTCTAACAAAATATTGGCAAGAAACCTTAAGTTTTAAAATTTAAATAATATTTAAGTGTTTCGCAAGGGTTGCCACCTTTTTAAAAATTAAATTCAATTATTCTAAATTAAATATTACAGTAAAAGGCGCGCAATGGTTCTGGCGGTTGATTAATCGGTGGTGATTTGAGATTTACCCCTGCACAACTCAGCCCTGGTGTCGCGGAATGAAGCTTTAACGCATAATAATACTGGCAAATCACATCCATTGGGCCAACTGTAACACAGATATACGCATTGGTGTAACAAGTCGATTTAATCTGACATCCACGGCACCTTTTCTAACTTGGCGATTATTCGTAATGACCCCAGCGCCACTTTGCAGCCTTTTGTGGCAATAGTATTGCCAATACATATTTTGAATATTAGCCAAAGTGGNCGCTTTAACGCATAATAATACTGGCAAATCACATCCATTGGGCCAACTGTAACACAGATATACGCATTGGTGCAACAAGTCGATTTAATCTGACATCCACGGCACCTTTTCTAACTTGGCGATTATTCGTAATGACCCCAGCGCCACTTTGCAGCCTTTTGTGGCAATAGTATTGCCAATACATATTTTGAATATTAGCCAAAGTGGATCATAAATAAGATTTTTAGTAATAACTTAACTCCAGTGCCAACTTTCGGGTTAAACTGTGAAACTACACTCAAAAGTACACAAAAAACTTCGTTAAAATCGGTCCGGGTATTTAGGAGGATTTCACTCACCATTTTTCTCCATGACTATAAGATTGATTTCATATATTGCCGTACCAATGAACACTTCCAGAAATATAAAGTAAGAAAAAATCGGTTTGTATAGGTGGTGCCTCTCCCCTTTTTATATCGAAATCTTTTCAGCCTATAACCATCCTTGGGACGTCCGAAGTAGGTGTCCGAAATTTCAAAATAATCGGTTCGGCCGTTCTCGAGCTTTGCGAACACATAAAAAACACATTTCAAAATATATATTATTATCGATTATAGATTATAGAAGATTGGTATGAATCGGAATGATTTTGAACACGAGTGTCAGACGAAAGAGGTTTAAAAAGGTTGTCAACTGTTTAAAAGGTTAAATTCAAACTATTCAATAAATTAAACGAATTATTAAAATATGGGTATCAATCGAAATGATATTTAATGGGCTTTATTTCAAAACTACATGTAAGAGGTTTCCATCTGTTTAAAATCTCAAATTGAGTTCAGGGGATAAGTTAATTGAAAAAGTATGAGACGTGAGAAGTTTAAAAAAGTTTTTGTTTGAAAATATTTTGAAGATGGCCACAATGGATCGTATTCTGCCGCTGCCGCGGGCGACGACGATAGAAATAAGAGCCAATTTACACGACGACTTTTCACCCCGCGTTTTTGGCACGTTCCTTTTTAAAAAAAGTCTTCGAAAATTTTTGACATTTAAGCCTAAAATTTTCTTTCGTCAACTCATTCGTTCTCATTTTTAAAGCGGAGCGAATCGCGTAATCAAAGCAAAAATACAAAAAAGTGAACTCGATAAAAGCAAAACGTCAAAAAAACCCTTCGATTTCGCCCAGGGTGAAAAGTCATCGTGTAAATTGGCTCTCAGTCTATCGTTGCGAACAGTCGTCGGACGAACGTCGTCGTTTGCTTTGGTTGTGTGCGTTCTCACCGGCCTTCTTCATATGCTTGAAAATCTCGCTGGCGTTCTGCTTTTTTCTCTCGTCAGCGAGATAGAGTTTTGTTGGCTGGGCATTTGACAGCATACTTTTTCATTTGCAAAATGTCGCCAACCAAGACCTATTAACACCTAATAATAACGAAAACACCTTTTATTTAGTCTGTTCCAATAGCAGTCCGGTTTACAGGATTTAGTCAGAACTTACAGGAAGTCGTTCCTATTGACATGAAACCTGTAAGTGGGAACACATTTGAGAGAGTAACTGAGCAACTGTTCCTAGTCAGAAGTTACAGGATTTAGTCCGGAGTTTTTTTTCCTGTAAGTTCAAGAAAAGTTTCAAACGATCAGCTGATCTACATGTGCAAACAAAAACAGAAAGCGGTGAAAGCAAATAACCTTATATTTGTTAAAAAAATGGAAGTAAACAACGAAATATTTGAATATGTATAGATTTTAATAATTATTTAGTGATATTTCAGCCAAATCAGTGTTGTACAAATGACATGTAAACAAAACGACTGACGTTTTTACAGGAAATAGTGCNCAAAATGTCGCCAACCAAGACCTATTAACACCTAATAATAACGAAAACACCTTTTATTTAGTCTGTTCCAATAGCAGTCCGGTTTACAGGATTTAGTCAGAACTTACAGGAAGTCGTTCCTATTGACATAAAACCTGTAAGTGGGAACACATTTGAGAGAGTAACTGAGCAACTGTTCCTAGTCAGAAGTTACAGGATTTAGTCCGGAGTTTTTTTTCCTGTAAGTTCATGAAAAGTGTCAAACGATCAGCTGATTTACATGTGCAAACAAAAACAGAAAGCGGTGAAAGCAAAGAACCTTATATTTGTTAAAAAATGGAAGTAAACAACGAAATATTTGAATATGTATAGATTTTAATAATTATTTAGTGATATTTCAGCCAAATCAGTGTAGTACCAATGACATGTAAACAAACCGTCTGACGTTTTTACAGGAAATAGTGCTTTTTGCGTTCCTGTGCACTTCTGCATCTGTTCTCCTTTTACTCTCATTTGAGAGCGTAAAATTGTAGTTTGACAGTTCCACAGGTTTTAGTCCGAAGTTCAAAGGAACAGACTAATTCCATCGTGGTATTCTTTCGGTCTTGACAGCAATCAGATATTTGCGGTGAACACCAGAATTAGAATGTGCAGTGTTGGAAAACGAAAANCAGGTTTTAGTCCGAAGTTCAAAGGAACAGACTAATTCCATCGTGGTATTCTTTCGGTCTTGACAGCAATCAGATATTATGCGCGTTCCTTATCTCCCAGAAATAGTCAGAAAAAGTCCGANAGCGATAGGGATTGGAACCGTTGCAAAAAGCTTTTGAATTACGATTTAATAAAACTTTATAAAAAGGATGTTGCATTAAGTAATACGAATTAAATCATACACATTGGGCCGTATGAATAAAAATAAGCAATTGCTTTTTCTTAAAATTCCAGACCTTTTACTCAATTTATTCAAACAAAATTGAAGTGAAAGGTATGAAATTTTAAGAAAAAGCAATTGCTTAGTTTTTATTCATACGGCCCATTAATTTCGAATTTTACGTAATATTGACAAGATTTTTTGGCAAGTGAAATCAAAACCTGATAAAAAAACTTTCGCATAGTAGGCTGGCGATTGTTGTCAAGACGCCATATTTTTTAAAAAAGAAAATACATACGGAAAGGCGGTCTTGACTGCAATTCTTCGTTTATATTTGATTAATCAAGCGATTAAATATATAAGCCATGATGAATACAAGTGAGGAAGAGTTCACAAATTCCGATGCATGGCTTTCGGAGCAATTGTTCGCACAGTTAAAGGAATTTAATTCAGACTACAGAGAAAAGTCTATGCCGGATGCTTCGGCGGCATTTATGTTTCCGTCTGGTAGTCTCAATTGCTTGCGGGAGTATGAGCCACAAGATTTAACAAAAGCCAGAATCGATAATTTTGAATCGGTATTTAAGCTACCGACGCCGACGAATATTACACCGTTCGACATGAATGACGTTCTTGACTTGAGTAATATAGCTGGTAGAGGATCTGATGCAGCCCTATTGGATTTAGTTGGGACAATCCCATTAACCCCGTTTACTGCACCGGTTGCGGAAAGTTCTATAATGGTTACTGAAACACCAAAAGAAATAGTGGAGACATTCGATGCCACAGAGGACGAGTTAAAGCTTCTGAAATTTCTCGAATCGCAACCGCAAAGCAATCAATTTGGTATGTGGTTATGCATTAATAGAAATAATTTCTATATACATATACACTATGATCATTTGATCTTTATTAATTTTAAAGTCGCTCTAGATACTAAACTATATATACCCCCTGAATCTCCTGCGACTGCTTATCGCATTGTGAAGTGTTCGAATTGTAACTGTCTCTTTGACATAATATCCTTTCAATCTCATATCTGTGACTACGATGAACATCATAATCTAATTATACCTCCTTCATCTACATCAACGCCCGTTAGTAAGCCAATAAAGGAAGAGCCTATTTTACCTCCCGAACCAGCGTGTATTCGCTTATTACGTGAAAATCAAATTCGTATTCGTCGTTTTCTAAAGGACGAACTTAAATATGATGTTAACGCCTCGATCAATAACAACACAACCAACTCCAATAATACTATAGGCAGTAATACCTCTAACGGAGCTAATGGTTCTAACTCATCTAATAATAATTCAAAAAAGCAAGATGGACCACATGAGTGCACTCTGTGTGAGCGCAAATTTGTTCATGCTTCAGGCTTATTACGACATATGGAGAAACATGCAATGGATCTCATTCCAACACCGGGGGCTACATCTGGAGGCAAAACGGCTGCATCGCAAGGCAGTTCCCTCCAAAGCGTTAACGGCCTACGAGTGGTCATTAAATGCACTTTGTGTGGACGAATATTCTTCGAACCATATGCTGCATTCAATCATTTATGTTCTCATTTTCCGGGAAGCATGAAGGAAGAAAAGGAGTTTGATAATTGCGCCGAAATCCCGTATGAATCGTATGTGGATGATGCTATGAATTTTTTATTAACCGAGGTAAAAGCATAATAAAAATATATGTCATAATAGCTAAATTGAAACCTTCTAGGCTAAAAGTAGTTCAGGTGCTTTAACAAATTATGAAGATAAACCTCCGATGTATCTCAAAATGGTTATCTTGAGCTGTATTTTGCAGTGCGAATTTTGTGATTTTGTGTTCTCAGAGGTATCATATTTGTTTGTTCATTCGGCTTTTCATTTGCCCGAACGCCGTTTTGAATGCTTCGCATGCGATATTCATGTGCGAACGTCCAAGGAAATTTGCGCACATTGGCAAGCTGAGTGTGTTTTCACGCGGGAGAATTTGAAAGTACACCAAGCCACCCTTCAGCGATATTTTGTATGTAATGTTTGCGAAAATAAGTTTCAGTCACTTGATCTATTACATGAACATCGGTAGGTATTAAATGAATAACGAGTAAATATCTTTATAAACAATTTTGCTTTATAAAAGATACACAGCATATCACTTTTTCCCACGGCTGAACAAATGTCTCGGCGTTTTGCAACTACCATGTGAATATTGCGATGTAGTATTTGAGTATGCCCAAGAGTGTGTGGCTCATTACGAAGAGAAGCATTATAAAAAGTATAAACGCGACAAAGATGGCACAGGCTCATCAAACAAGACTCGCCAGTACTTGTGTGATATGTGCGGCAAGTCTTATACACAATCAAGCCATTTATGGCAGCATTTGCGTTTTCATCAAGGTAAAAGAGCTACTTAAATGGGTAAGAAGTTATAATTAAAAAACTTTACTTTTGAAGGAGTAAAACCCTTTGCATGCAAAGAACCCGGTTGCACCCGAAAATTCACGATTCGTCCTGATTTGAATGACCACATACGCAAATGTCATACTGGTGAACGTCCCTATCATTGCTTGGTGTGTGGAAAGCGCTTCTTAACAGGTTCCGTTTTCTACCAACACCGTCTTATACATCGTGGAGAGCGACGCTACGAATGCGAAGAGTGTGGCAAACGTTTTTATCGTGCTGATGCGTTAAAAAATCATCAACGTATCCATACAGGAGAGAAGCCATTCGGTTGTATATTCTGTACTAAAAACTTCCGTCAACGCGGGGATCGTGACAAACACATACGAGCTCGTCACTCCCACTTGGATGCCAATGCACGATTGATGATGCAAATGCAAAAACTTCAGTTGGAAGCAGCAGCAGCAGCAGCTTCTGCCCAAGTAGCAGTTCAACAGCAACAAGCAAACACTGTTTTAATGAGCGGAATGCCCACTGTAGCACCCACTCTTTTGAGCATGCCTTCTGCTAGCAATGATCTAATTAGTAGCTTAGAACCGTCGTTAGACCCGAATGAAGTTGTAATGATCGGAAATGTTGCTTTTCCAAAAAGCATGTTTGAATCTATAATTCCAGATATAGACGAAGAGTCAGCCCTTAGAGCCATGGAACAATTACAATAAGATGACGACATGTATCTGTGATAAAGAAATCCATAAACGTAATTCTACTTATATATATATAAATAATAATAGATTGGCGCTTACGACATATGTTAATGTTTGGCCGAGATTACTTATGATTTTAGTGGTATATATATTCATATTCATATGAACCAAAAATTTTGAAATTTTCTATATCAGGAATTTCTCAAATATGTATTTCAAATTCATGCGAAACAAGAATAAACTTCTTGTATTCAAAATTTTTACCATTTTCTAAATTAGAAATGTTTGATGTTATTGAATGAATCGCGTATTGTCCATTTATGTTTAAATGTTTGAAATGAATTGTGATTTTACTTCCGACTTGATTTTATGTTAGACTTAAGTAGGTTACGCATGTAATGAATTAAAAATTGAAAAAAGTATATGCATATTTAGTTTCTTATCTTATATACTAAGGGCTCGTTTTCTCAAGTAGCTTTTAAAATCTATCTCCACCTTAAACACAGATTTTGTTCTCAAAAAGATTGATTTAAAGGGCAGATACATTTTAAAAGCTACTAGGGAAAACGGCCCTAAGAGTGAATACGTGCGCATAAGAAGTTTCAAAATAAATTTACTCTTCGAAATTTTAATTAAAAAACAAAATTTAACTTAGTGGGTTTGTACTAATGCTCATTTGCATTGACAGCCGCTAAGTGTTATACACTTAAAAAGTACTTTTTTGTCACAACAGAAACTCTGTTTTATGCCGAATCAGCTGTTTTGATTCCTTTGTAAAATTCCGAGTCACCGCGCTCATATTTTTTTATCAATTAATTATTAGAGGAAGCGAGTGCAGCAGTGAAAACTAGTAGAACCAGTAACTAATTGTGTTTTAAGGATTTAACTAAAAGGTAATTTTTATTTGTAGAGGAACTATTTACATAGTTACATATGTATTTGGAATATGCATGCTGTTGGCGAATTCTGTAGACTTGTGTTGTGGGTTAATTACATATGGATACATATAAAACGATATTTGTTTGCTATGAGAGTCCTATGTGCCGAGTTACGAGCTATTAAACACTATATGGCCTTATTAAGCCGCTTTGGCAAATCTACCGGGTTTGAAATGTCGCGTGGCAGCTGTGAAGTGCATCCAATACGTGCTGCACAAATGTATGCAAATGCATGCATGTACAAACCCTGCAGGAAATGAATCTAACTATAAGCTCACTTTAAGTTGATTAGGAAGGAGCTTAAAGTCACTTATTGTCTGTATATTTTCTTTGACGAAAGCTAACTACATATATTTCTATGGCGATGACCGCGAAATAGTCAAGGGTGGTTTATCTCTGCGTTGGATGTAGTCAAGGGTGGTTACCTCTGCATTTGATGTAACTAATTTGTAACTAACTACTTTTGGACATAAAATATCAATAGGAAAATCAAAATATTTTTTTTTATATCTTTATTTTTATTTACTCGTTTATTTTACTACATTTCATATTTGTTTCCATATTCTGCTGTAGGTAACTTCAAAATGATAATATGAAATTTCGATCTTCTTTTATTTGTCCTCATTTCGAAAAAGTATTTGCGAAGTGCAGAATATTTAAATAGAAACGCGTTTAAAGAAAACAATCTCCTTCATTACTCCTGCATTACTTGTCAACTAGTTTCAAGTTATCTTTTATTTTAGCTAACTACAAGTTATATATTTTATAGAAATCCCGCAAAAAAGCTAACTACAAGTGGGTGATTTTTGTTTTGTTGTTAATCGCTGTGTGCACTGAATCGCATATGTATATGTGTATATATATGTACATGTATACATACACCTATGGCCAAAATAATAGGAACACGACATTTTGACAAGTCAAGAATGATACAGGTGCTTATTGCGAGTATCGACAGGCAATGGAATAGAAATTTGTTGTTGTTGTTGTTGTTGTAGCGGCTACAACAACCCCGCCCAGATCGGTTGGTATCTCAGTCGTTGTCGTCAAGTTCCACTAACGGCAACCCTAGGAAGCGTGCAGCTTCTGCGGGGTTTGCCCATAAGGACAAGGTCGTTAGGGATGTCGGGTTTGCCGGGCATGCGAAGAGATGTTTCGAGTCATGTGGGGTCTCTCCGCATGCCGGACATTCATTCGGCACATCCTCATTCAGCCTACTCAGGTAGGAGTTTAACCTGCTGCAGTAGCCGGAGCGAAGTTGTGCAAGTGTAGTGCGCGTCTCCCGAGGCAGATGAAGCTCCGTCTCGTCAATGTCCGGGGGTGGTGTGCCTAGAACGGCATTCACAGGTCTAGAGTCTACATAACTCGAGACTGAGTCCCTGTGAATGCCGTTCAAGGCCTGTCTGTAGGCTGTCGGGTCCAGAGGTTGCTTAATGAACCTCTGGACTTCGTCCGTTAGTTCATATATTTGTCGATTCATTCGATTGTTTTTTATTCAGAGCCTGAGTTTTGCCCGAAAAAAATGCACCCAAAAATGTCTTACAAAAAGTGAAAAGTGAAGCGGTTCGGCGAAAATTAAAATCATGAGTTATTTTTTCGTATTCTACAGCAAAAATATCCAGTAACTTCCCAGTAACCAAATTTCGGAGAGTAAGCCAATAGGTGCGTTCGTTCAAAATCTCCAGTAAAAACAACCAACAGCAAAATCCCGGCGAAATGTCACCAGTTCTCTCACAAGAGAAAAATATTGTAGGTTATTTTACCTGTATGTTTTTATACTTGTTTAAATTCTTGATGTTCAATTTATGGTTCAATGCACGATAAAAATATAGTAAGGTAAAACCGTTCTCACAATTCGTCGACCATAATTTTTCTTTGAAGTTTGCCAACATTTTAAAATCATATAAAATTGAGAGTAAAAAAGGAATTGTTCAAAGTTGTTGTTGTTTGAGATTGAAAATGAGAATGTGTGTTTGAGTTTGTGTGTAAATTTTTAAAATTAAATTGCTTGCAAACGTCAATAATTTGAAAAATTCCTCTCAGGGGTATTTTTTTATCATGGTTCAATGAATTTGTTTTGTTATCAAAAGGAACATATTTGATTATTCAGGCCCTGTGCCAATCGGTAACTTTTTTCTCCGTGGTGAGACGGGGTGGAAAAATTTGCTGTGGTGTACAAATAAATTGAATTTTGCTGTGCCAAATGCAGAGTAAAATTTTGACAGTTGAAAAACCAAACAAACGCTCGTGCGAAAGCTTTATTTTTGTGTGTTGCTGAAATTCTTAAAAATTATATTTATTTTATAATTTGCAAGTAACGTACGCTTTTTTATGCTGTTTCAGCTTTCATTTTCATGTTCACTCCTTATTACCGCCAAGCAATATTATGTGTATACATGGTTATAAGCTAGGCTAGGTAAAATTTTGACCTTCGTATTCACCACGAGAAGTGTCAAATTTTNCTCACAAGAGAAAAATATTGTAGGTTATTTTACCTGTATGTTTTTATACTTGTTTAAATTCTTGATGTTCAATTTATGGTTCAATGCACGATAAAAATATAGTAAGGTAAAACCGTTCTCACAATTCGTCGACCATAATTTTTCTTTGAAGTTTGCCAACATTTTAAAATCATATAAAATTGAGAGTAAAAAAGGAATTGTTCAAAGTTGTTGTTGTTTGAGATTGAAAATGAGAATGTGTGTTTGAGTTTGTGTGTAAATTTTTAAAATTAAATTGCTTGCAAACGTCAATAATTTGAAAAATTCCTCTCAGGGGTATTTTTTTATCATGGTTCAATGAATTTGTTTTGTTATCAAAAGGAACATATTTGATTATTCAGGCCCTGTGCCAATCGGTAACTTTTTTCTCCGTGGTGAGACGGGGTGGAAAAATTTGCTGTGGTGTACAAATAAATTGAATTTTGCTGTGCCAAATGCAGAGTAAAATTTTGACAGTTGAAAAACCAAACAAACGCTCGTGCGAAAGCTTTATTTTTGTGTGTTGCTGAAATTCTTAAAAATTATATTTATTTTATAATTTGCAAGTAACGTACGCTTTTTTATGCTGTTTCAGCTTTCATTTTCATGTTCACTCCTTATTACCGCCAAGCAATATTATGTGTATACATGGTTATAAGCTAGGCTAGGTAAAATTTTGACCTTCGTATTCACCACGAGAAGTGTCAAATTTTTACATTGATCCGTCAAAATTTTCTATTTTCTATCAATTGGCACAGGGCCTCAATAATAAACTTTCAAACAAGAAGGAAATTAAATTTTTAAATTGCATAGTTGTATTTTCTGTCTAATTTAATTGTTCAAGTTTATTTTTAGTTGCTAATGTTAACATTTCGTGCAGAGGACTAAGTTCTGCTGCTAACATTTTAACATATCTATGGTAATAATTAACCATGTCCAAAAATTTTTGTAATTTATTTATTGAAAGTGGTTTTTCAAAATTTACTATTGCTTCAACTCGTTCGACAGAAGGACTGATTCCTTCACTTGAAATTTCATAACTAAGAAAATCTAATTTATTTGCTCCAAAAATGCATTTACTAGGTTTAATATTCAAACTATATTTCTCAAATATTAGATCAAAAGTTGTACATCACAATAAAGAATATTCTTTTGTTCCTAAAAGTTTAAATACTTGTGAGTATGTTTTTGTTAAAGTTATTCAGAAGTCAAACTTGCAATCACCTTATGAAGGACCATTTACAGTTGTTTCGAAACATAATTAAGTATACAAAATTCAACATGGAAATATGATTAAAACAATTTCAACAGATTTGCTCAAACCTGCAAATATAATTTCTGATACAACAAAAAAATCTAATTCACTAACAATTCCAAATACAAAAAAGAAAATAACATTTAACATTCATTAATTTATTGTTTTACTGGAGGGGGAGTTGATGTTCAATTTATGGTTCAATGAATTCATTTTGTTATCAATAGGAAAATTTTTGGTTTTTCAATAATAAACTTTCAAACAAGAAATAAATGAAATTTTTAAATTGAATATTATATAATACTGATGGCTGAGTGGAAGATCGACCTATCTCGGCAGCCAGTTCAAAAACGCCCTATCTCAGAAAACTTTTCAAGAACGCCCTACTTCAGAATTTTATTGAAAAACGCCCTAT